GGGGGGGGGGGGGGGGGGGGGGGGGCCTGTAGGAGAAAACAACGCATGGAGCTAACCCGAACCCATCTTCAGGGAGCAGCCCTTAGACTTCAAAGCCTTAGACACTACCGCGCTCATGATGCTACCGCAATCCCTTCTCATAGCTGGTACTCCCAGAGAGACTCCAAAACACACTCGTTACGAAATGCCCCTGGAACTGCAGAGGGATCCTTCACGACCCCTAACTTCCCTGAACCCCCCCACCCTCTGCGAACGGAAAAGGGTCGCCTTTTAGGAAAAGACCCAGACCTGAATCCGTTGTAGGGCTCAGGAGTTTCGGGCTTAGCCGTTAGTTTTTTTCATGTTTTGTTTTGGGAGCCTCCGGGCTGCAAGTGGAGTACTCGAGGAGTTTGCACGTTGTGCTGAATTCGGGGGAGCGTAGAACTTATAAGGGCTTCATACGCTGCTTTCGGGGTCTTCTATAGGTGCCCTGGTAAGTACATAAGGGTTTGGGGATGTAGGGTATACTTCATGAAATTGGGGACGAGAAATGAATGCTGTTGGTAGTTAGTTCTTCAATTAAGTAGATTCAGCAAGACGAGACGAGACAAGGCAGGAATTTCCGGGCAGCCACTAGTAACAGCAACATCCCTTCTATTGCCATTGTTATCAGCAGACACACTATATGAGTATTACTGTTGTCATGAATCACATTGCTGTTCGTATCGTTGTGTGGGTCTTCACGCTGCGCAGAAAAGAAGTCTGCATTCTGGCCAAGGAGCATTCACCCGCAAGCTTTCTACAAAGGCTCAGAAGCCAAGCCCGAAAGCCTCCAATAAACCCTCGAGCCGCTAAGCCCTCATTGAAAGTTGTGCTTCAAAACCCTAAAACCTGGAACCCCGTAGAACCCCCCAAGCCCCAGTCTCAATGCGCGGTCAACAGCCAAGATCCAGAAGGGAATTCGGAGGAATGGGAATTCTCGAGTCCTCCTTGAACCCCAAAACCCCACATCCAAGCCCTGAAGCTCCAAAACCCGTAAGGCACCGAATCTGAAAACAAAAAACCTAAACCCGCAAAAAAACCCAAACCCGGGCGAAACCGTCTGAGGACCCTGAAAGGCCCCTAAACACTGGGAGCAACCTGTGCCGAGAACCTCCGTGCAAGATTCGGAGCCTTTTTGCGCCCTCAAACACAAAAATCGTCAGATGAAGCCCTTGAAAGGCCGAGCCGAGAAGCCCCATAGCAAAGCCCTGAACATGAACCCCTAACCCTGGCTTCGTGGCACGCAGGCACATCAGACCTCCAGCTGCGGGCCAAGACGGCTGAGTAGATGGCGTTTATAAAACCCTTACACGATCCCTATGGAGCCTTAGTGATTGGAGTTCGCGGACTTCGGTGGTTTCAAATTTTGATGCTGGTGTGCGTCTCCGGACTCTGATATGGGATGCTGTCCCTTGGATGCAGTGGGGTTGTTTAAATGTTTTCTGTATACACGTGACATCTCCGCCGCAGTACAGTGGCTCTTTCCCGTTTGGAGGGACCCAGGCTCCGCCAAGAGTCCGCCAAGACTCCTTCCTAATACTGTTGCATGGCATGCGCGGCCACATAGCCTTTGCGCTGGCAGCATTTCTAACAGAATGCATGGGCCAAGATGGCCCACCCTCCAATCTGTTTGTGGTGGGAGGATTCCCGAAATGCAGCAGCTCGCACATTTTTCGCGTTCTCCAGTCTCACCCGAATACAGTGACTTTTGGAAAGCAGGTGGGCTCTCTGCCGGGAGCAGAGCTTGAGTTTGAGATGGCTGCTTTCGCGATCGCGAGGACTTTGCAGATCCCCGGAAAGCCCGTCATATCAGCTTGCACAGGAATGCCTCTCAAGGTGCTGAAAGAATGCAAGCGGCTCGTCGGCTATATCAGGGGCAAGTACGACAATTCGACTGCAGCGGTACTCGTCATAACGGACATCTTCTTCCTGGAGAAGAAGGTGCTTGCTCTGTCGGGCATGCCTTTCCATTCCCCTCTTAAGATCTTTTTGTAGTCCGGATCGGTTTCTTGAAGCAGGCGCTGGCACGTCGCTGGACAGGAAAGGTCAAGCTGTTGTTTGTCGTGCGCGAGCCCGCGGATTACTTGTGGGCCGCCTACAACTTTTGGATTCTGCCTGGAGAACCAAAAGGCTTGCAGGACGACTGGACAGACACGATGCGCCTTGCAAGTGCGCAAGGGAGTTGACGTTTTCGGGCTTGAGATCACATTCTTCACACACGTGCACAACTGCATGTATATACATGTTGGGGCTTCCATCTACTTCGGGGGATACTTGCTTGTGAGAGGCACAGGTCTAGCAGAATATTGGTGGCAGCATGTTGCGATCTCTTCAGGAAACACACGCGCAGCCCAGAGCTTTTCCATGACCTGGTGGTCGCCGATGGCAAGATGCCCGCCTGGCAGCCGCGCTCAAACAAAGTGACTGGAGTGTGGTTCAATCTCATCCAAGACGCGAAGAACGCGTCCGCGACCACTCTCGTTCTCAAGTCCGAGGCATTGCGGGAGCTAATCGGCATGCGCAACCTGAAGCCCTCAAGCCTTCGTCGCATCACGCATGCCCCAGTCCCTCACATCCCCGTGTCTCGCACGCCCCTAACCCAAACAAGCAAGGTAAGAAACAAACAAGCAAATTATTTACAGTTTTCCGGCATGCGGGTCTCGATCGGGCCGCAGGATTTCACTGACCATGTGAGTGCGACGTTGGAAAAGATGGCTTCCTTCCTGGGTGTAAGCGCTTCTGGCTTTCCCCTCGACGTGGCTCTGGGACGAACCAACTCTCAATCGAGCACGGGGGGGCGAGGGGTGGACACTGTCCAAAGACATCCCGTAAGGATCGGAGTCTATGAGATCTCTGGCAGAAGGCCAATGCTGTGTGCCACAAGGCGCGTGATCTACTCCAAGATGCAAGACGTTTGCCGAGTGCTGAACTCCTCTTTTGCAGTGCGCTACGATGCATGCCTCGGCGGTGGAACTGGTGAATGCACGGACAAAGGCATTCAGACTGATCCCGCCCGCGCCGTGACTACCATGGCACTGCCATTGAACAGCTTTCCAGCTTCCATTGAAGAAGCACCCTCCAACTTGATTGTGTTCGGAGGATTCGCGAAATGCAGCAGCTCGCACATTTTTCGCGTTCTCCAGTCTCACCCAAATACAGTGACTTTTGGAAAGCAGGTGGGCTCTCTGCCGGGAGCAGAGATTGAGTTTGAGATGGCTGCTTTCGCGATCGCGAGGAATTTGCAGATCCCCGGAAAGCCCGTCATATCAGCTTGCACAGGAATGCCTCTCAAGGTGCTGAAAGAATGCCAGCGGCTCGTTGGCTGGATCAGGGGCAAGTACGACAATTCGACTCCAGCAGTACTCGTCATCACGGACATCTTCTTCCTGGAGAAGAAGGTGCTTGTTCTGTCGGGCAAGCTTTTCCATTCCTCAGTTAAGATCTTTTTGTCGTACGAATCGGTTTCTCAAAGCAGGCGCTGGCACGGCGCTGGGCAGGAAAGGTCAAGCTGTTGTTTGTCGTGCGCGAGCCCGCGGATTACTTGTGGGCCGCCTACAACTTTTGGATTCTGCCCGGGGAGCCAAAAGGCTTGCAGAACGACTGGACAGACACGACGAGACTTGCAAGTGCGCAAGGGAGTTGACGTTCTCGGGCTTGAGATCACATTCTTCACACACGTGCACAACTGCATGTGCATACGTGTTGGGGCTTCCATCTACTTCGGGGATACTTGCTTGTGAGAGGCACAGGTCTAGCAGAGCATTGGTGGAAGCATGTTGCGATCTCTTCAGGAAACACACGCGCAGCCCAGAGCTTTTCCATGACTTGGTGGTCGCCGATGGCAAGATGCCCGCCTGGCAGCCGCGCTCGGACAAAGTGACTGGACTGTGGTTCAATCTCATCCAAGACCTGAAGAACGCGTCCGCGACCACTCTCGTTCTCAAGTCCGAGGCTGCCGAGTCGGGTGCATGTGATCAAGCCCCCGCGTGGACTCTCCCCCAGCCGTCGACGTGAGACCGCGAAGCCTTGCATCCCTGACTTGTGGAAGTAGCGCACGAAGTTTACAAATCCCCAACCGTGTAAGTGTGGGCTGTACAGGCATGAGGTTATTGCTGAGGCCGTGAAGGGGTACAAGGCACTGTTGCGTCTGCAGCTTTGGTGCCGTGCACATCTGCGTGCGAACACACATTCTCGGGCAACGTTTCCCAGCCGAACTCACTGTCAAATCCCGTACGTTAGCGCTCTGCTGCAGACTGGCACCACAGCGCCGTGCGTTTGTGGAAGTATTTTGGTGTAGAAATGGAACACGTTCCCCCCCACAGGGAACTTTCCTACCAGGGACCATCGTCTTCTGGCCCAGGTCTCGTCTGCCTTGCATGCTTCCGATACAGTGCCATGCTTCTTTCGGGGACTCGTCGTGTGTGACCGTGTGTGGAGTATGGTCCGCCTATAGGGCTTCGCGCGCTTCGCACCTCCTCCGCACGCTTCGCGCCCTTTGCGCGCCTCGCGCTTCGTGCCTTCGCGCCCGCGCACCTCGCGCTTTCGCGCCTTTTGTGCACTTCGCGCCCTTCGCTCTTCGTGCTGTTCGCGCCTTTCACGCGCTTCATGTGCTTGGCCCCTTGCGCCTCACGCTTCGCGCGCTTCGGGTGCTTCGCGCCTTCGCGACTGCGTGTGGCGGGCCCCTGTAGACGGACCGTTGCATCTTCGATTGTTGCCGCTCGCCTTGGGCAGTTTTGAGCCTTCGGGGTGCTTCTGCAATGGTTCTCACTTCTAGCCAGAGTTTAACTGCTAGCTGCCATGTGTTCTTTCACTGCTCTATGCTGACATAGCTGGGTTTTCGACACGCGTGCTTTGACCCAGCCGCAGGATTCCATTGACCACGTGAGCGCGACTATGGAAATTATGGCTTCCTTCCTGGGTGTGCGCGCTTCTGGCTTTGCTTTGGACGTGGCTTCGGGACGCACCAGCTCCCAAGCCAGCACGGAGGGTCGAGGTGTCAACATCATCCAAGAAGATCCAGTAGCGACAGGAGTGTATGAGATTTCTGGAAGCAGGCCGATGTTGTGTGCCACCCGGCGTGTGATCTACTCCAAGACGCAAGACCTTTGCCGAGTTCTTAGCTCCGCTTTTGAGGTTCGCTACGATGCATGCCTCGGGGGTGGGACTAGCAATTGCACAGACACAGGCGTGCACACTCCTGCCTCCAAGCTCACGAGAGCTTGGAAAATTCATCCCGCCCGCGCCGTGACTACCACGGCACTGCCATTGAACAGCTTTCCAGCTTCCATTGAAGAAGCACCCTCCAACTTGATTGTGGTCGGAGGATTCGCGAAATGCAGCAGCTCGCATATTTTTCGCGTTCTCCAGTCTCACCCAAATACAGTAACTTTCGGAAAGCAGGTGGGCTCTCTGCCGGGAGCAGAGATTGAGTTTGAGATGGCTGCTTTCGCGATCGCGAGGAATTTGCAGATCCCCGGAAAGCCAATCATATCTGCTTGCACAGGACTGGCGCTTAAGTCGCAGAAAGAATGCACCCGGCTAGCCAGCTATGTCAGGGGTAGCTACGACAATTCGACTGCAGCGGTACTCATTATCACGGACATCTTCTTCCTGGAGAAGAAGGTGCTTGTTCTGTCGGGCAAGCTTTTCCATTCCCCTCTTAAGATCTTTTTGTCGTACGGTTCGGTTTCTCAAAGCAGGCGTTGGCACGGCGCTGGGCTGGAAAGGTCAAGCTGTTGTTTGTGGTTCGTGAGCCCGCGGATTACTTGTGGGCCGCCTACAACTTTTGGATTCTGCCTGGAGAACCAAAAGGCTTGCAGGACGACTGGACAGACAGAACGAGACTTGCAAGATCGAGAGGGTTGATGCTTTCGCACTTCATGTCAGAATGTTCAGGCATCTGCTTTTTCGACGCCCATCTGTTCTTTCATTTATCTTTCGGTGATACTTCTCTGCGCATGTTGCGCGGCAGCGGCAGAGGCCACAGGTCAAGTACAGTTTTGCCAGCGGCATGTTGCGATCTCTTAAGGACACACTCGCGAAGCCCAGAGCTTTTCCATGACCTGGTGGTAGCCGATGGCATGATGCCCGCCTGGCAGCCGCGCTCAAACAAAGTGACTGGACTGTGGTTCAATCTCAACCAAGACCTGAAGAACGCATCCGCGACCACTCTCGTTCTCAAGTCCGAGGCTGCCGAGTCGGGTGCGTGTGATCAAGCCCCCGCGTGGACTCT